ACCAAATGCAATGTGTAGTCTTTGATTGGATTCTATTTTAAAAATCAGTAGAAAAGACATCACTGGGCTACTGGGAACATTTAACTACGGACTGTATATTAGACATTATGTACGATTATTAAGTGTCTGGAATGGTTATATGGGAGAATGTCCCATATTAGAAGATACATACTGCAGTATTTAGGAGTTAAGTTTCATGATGTCTGTATCTTGTTCTCAAATGGTTCAGGAAAAAAAGAGGCACATATTCATAAACAAATAGCAGGTATGACAAGATGGGAATAATTAGCAAATCTCAGTATATGATATATGGATATTCATTATATTACTCTTTTTTGTTTTTTCATGGTGGCCCTGGGGTTTGAACTCAGGGCCTTGCACTTATTAAGCAGTTGCTCTACCACTTGAGCCATGCTCCAGCCCTTTATATATTATTCTTACAATTTTTCTGTGAATTTGAAAGTGTTCAAAATAAAAGGTTGGTGTGGGTAGGGAACTTGTGAAGCAATTTCTGAGCAATTTGTATAAAAATTTCTTTGATTTAACTAAATAGCATCTTGCACTGACCAAACTAATTACTTAACTTTTTACAAGAATAAACGATTTATATCTAAAATGAATTCCATAGTCCTTTTGGACTGGTCAAATTTCTCTGTAAAGAACCACATAGTAAACATTTTAGGTTTTGCGAGTCACATATGGGCTTGTGTTTTACTTGGTTTTGTTTATAACTCTTTCAAAATGTTTTTTAAAAATTCCTGGCAAGAAGGCCAATATAAAGATGGCTGAAGACCATATTTGCTAACCTCTTATCCAGTGGAACTTCCATAGCATTCTATGTAAATAAGAAACTCACATCCAGGAAACTAAGGCAGAAACTCTCCTTTCCAGAATCATCTCGAGACAGTCTGGTCTGAGTGCAGGAGGCAGACAGTGATCATTGGTGACTCCAACCTGAGGGCCATTTCATTAGGGAAGCCTTACAAAGTCACAGTGCAGTGTTTGATCTATACTTCTGACAGCATGACACTTGTCACACATTTGCAGCTCTGTCGCACTTTGGTTCCAGATCTTTTATTCAACTCTCAGCAGAGGTCTCACGTTATGTGAGCATTTGACTTCCAAAACTTCCACTACACACACTTACCAGAAAGTGGGATGCTGAGAGAAAAATGCATGAATTATATATAATTCCATGGGGCACATGCCCTCTATTTTATACTTGCTATTGCTTACTGAAAGTCACACATTTATGCATGAGTGTCACTGTACAGAGGTCACCTATGCAAAGCCATGTGAAGTCAAAGATCTCCCAGGATGATTTTGATGCTAGTCATGCAGCCTAGAGGTGCTAATCTTTTCTCTCTTGTCTTTGGTCCAGGTCCCCCACTCTCATTTGTCTCCATCTGGTTTTGATGGCCTTATTGAAGAAAACTGAAACCATTCATCCTCCACTGACCACAGCTTCCTATTCTTTCAGCTGTCCCCTGCCCTTGCTCTAATGAATCTGCCTTCTTATCTCAACAGGGACCACCAGGCCCTTGGTGCTTACATCATTCCAAGACCACAAACCACATCTAGTCTTTCCTCATCCTCTGCCCAGCTGAAACTTAGTAATCTCTTCATGCTCTTGATTTTCTGGCACCAATACCTCACTCCAGCCTCACTCATTAGCCTCTTATTTTTCTCTTCCAAAAATTCCCAATTCTAGAAACAGGGAAGTGGTTAAGAGCCAAACATAAAGGAATCAAACTTCCTGAATTTAAATTTTTCTTATCTTTGTGATCCGGCTAAGTTATTTAATCCTCAATGCCTTAGTTACTTCTTCCATAAAATGGGTTTAGCAGTACTACCTTCTAGGACATCAGTAAGTTTGAAACCAGGCTTCTCAAAGGAAAAACAGACCTTTGGCCCAAAAGATACCCTTTCATTTTAGGGGAACTAGGTTTTTCTCAGACTCATGAACAACATAGGACATTTTGGATGGACAGGAGGATGGGGTCTCCACACGGTTGCAACTAATATTAAGGATAGATCCAATTTGGGCAAAAAGAGTTTGTCAAAATGAACTATGAAGCCTATTCATGCCAAATAAGGCCACAACCCTGACACAAGACACCTCTGAGCTTCTATCGAATAAAACAAAGTTAGAATGCTCTGAATAATTTTTAAAGGAGGATTAGATAGTATGAAGTCCCCATTCTGAGGGCAGTCAAACTATTTAGGCTTCCAAACTTGAAACTGCAGAGTTGATTTTACATTTTTTAAATGCACAGGTGGCAGCTCTGAGACCCTTCTTCACTAACATCCACAACACTCCCTGGGTATAGAGTGTGAAAGACCTTTAAGCAGTCTCATGTACTCTCTAAAAACAGGTGTCTGAAATCTATGTGATATGCTATCTGAGAATGGTCACTTTCCTGAGACTATAATCTGAGTTTTCTGCCTTTAGACTCCTTCCATAAACCAACTCCTCATCTAGAATAGTTGATAGGTTGACCTCAGGATATGTCCCAGAAAATGCACCTGTAATCTCATCCTGTGGGGCCCCAATACTCTCAGCTCAGTCAAAACCCAGCTCTGACAGTGAGGAAGGAAACCCTCTTCCTCCATCATCCCCAGCTTTCACTGCAATTGGCTCCTTGGTCATGTTTTGGTTCTCATGGCTCTGTGGGTTCTGCCCCTGGAAATGTGTTTGTATCTGGTTTCTCCGGCTTCTGCCCCAGCTTTCTCTCCAACGCTCTAGCTTGGGTTCATGCTCCATGCTTGCCTTGGCTATCTATGCAGCTCATTCCTCCTTAGCAGACTCTGCTAGGCTGCCAGCTGGAGTCCCCTCAGGGAAGCCAGGACTTGATCCCTGGTCCTTATACTCCGTAACTCATGCTCCTTCAAATACAGAAGTGGGTCTAATCCTCCATGGGCAGAAGACTTAACCAATAACTCACTTGTCTTGAGTTTTGTCCTTTTGCCCAGACAGCGACATTGGCCTCATCCTTCATGTTAGCCATTTCTCTTTGTTTTGTCTTCATGCTGTCAGCAGCCCAAGCCCTTTGTTTATTTAAAGAAGCCCCTGACTATCATGTTTGCCTCTGTGTACTTCTGACCATGCATTTCCTAACCGTGATCCAAATGTAAAACCCACTTCTCCACTCCAGCATGCTGCCATTCATCAAAGTGTTTGTAAGAGACCCACCAATGACTAATGCATACCCAGGGAGACTCCATCCTCTAACCTCAGCATCTTTTGCAAGGTTGGAAACAAGTCGCATGTGTAAATGCCCCTACATTCAGAGCACTGTCTTCAGACAAACCTTCTCTGAATGCAAAGCCAGACAGGTGACACTCCCATCTGACAGGTTTACTCATGGAATATCATGGAAAGGTGGAGCCTACAGTCATCTCTGGACTAAATATTGGGTAAATAAAGACTACTACCAAAGACCCACTTTAACTGGACCATGAGAGCAGGGTCCACATAGGTAAGATAAGTTCCCGGTGAATCTGAATAGCAGGAGGGACCAAGCCCAGAACCACTGGAAAGCAAGCAATGTTTAGAGCCAATCCACTGGTCTCAGGAAGTGCTGATCTAACTACACTTTCCTGCAGATGAGATCTGGGTAAGGCAGGGAAAACAGGTACTGAGGGAGCACAGTACGAGAATTAGGAGTGGGATCCCAAGGCAAGGAGGGCGTGGAAACAGCAATTTCAGTATATCAAATTTTCTTTAAACACAGAAGGCCGGTGGAGAGGCAGAAAAAATACACTGACATGAACAATGTGGAAAAGTCCTGCAACGTAAGCAAAATTTGTAAGCACTGTGCTAAAGTACCTCGTCCACATTATCCTGATGAAGTTAACAAAAAGCCTATGAAAGAGAGTTGTAAAATTTTATCACCATCTACATATATATAGATGGTGTATATATGTACATATACATAGATAGATAGATAGATCAATAGATAGATCGATCGATAGATAGATCGACAGAACCTCCAGGAGGTTCAGTGGCAAAATAAGTGAAGTAAGGACTTGAGTTTTGTTTTCAGGCTCTAAAAATCCCTGTATCTTCAATTTCTCAAACAGTTTACAAGTCACCGAAATAAGAGTTCACACTATGTGATTCCATTGAGATAAGGTTCAGGAGGAGGCACAAGACAAGCTTTGGGGAAAGAAGTCAGAACAGCATTGTTGCCAGGCCTGAGACGTGGGAGGGGCCCAGGGAACTTCCTGCCTTCTGTCTTGATTAGGGTATAGGTGACATGCTTGCACACACTTCTCAAAACCCATCAGATTCTACATTCAGAAGCAGTGTGCTTCATTGTATGCCCATTACATCTCAATAAAACAAAAATCAATATCTAAATGATAGAATCTATTAAATTTCGAAGTCTGATTTGAAATTTATGTTCATACACATCTATAAATATTAAGATTCTAGTTTCTTTTGTGTCTGGAACCACTTGCCAGAAAGCTCTTAATTCTTTTGTCACAGGATTGCTTTGTGACAGACCCTAGCTTCAAAGTATGACAACTAAACACTGCTGCTATTGCCAAAGATGCAAATTAAATATATTCAAAACACCTCCATAAAGTAGGTCCAGTGAGGAGCATTACCTGGCATGCTTTTTAGATGCTGTAGGTATATAAAAGCACGGTTTTCACAGGGTACAAGTTGCTACAATTAGGTCCACATCTTCACAATTATCTGGGCACAAATTCCTACATAGTAAGAGTTAGTGGGCTCTGAGTACCAGCATCCAGATACTCCTTCCCTGTCAAATTTATAATTGTCACAGTCCCTACCACTCCCTCTCGTGAGCCCAGACTCCCTCTCTTGCTTGCGTTTCCTGCCCACATAAGGGGTTTGCTCATATGTTTATTTGTTTTTTGAGTTGCATATTCAAACCGAAGATAAATTAAAAACAAAACACTAGAAGTTTTGCAGGAAAACTGAACAATATTAAAGATCTTTCTGGAACAAAACCACAGGCTATACTCACTCGCAGAGAAGAATTCCATTTTCCAGTCCTGTCCGAAAATCTTTATCACCAAAACTTCTGCCAGTTACTTGCTGGAAAAGAAAAAAAAGAAAAAGAGCATAAATTTTTTCTTGTTTAATCAGGAAGCTCAACATTAAAAAGAAAATTCAAGGACCTTGAAAAAAAACCAACTGGTGGCATTCCAACAGTGGGTAAAATCCACTAGGCCTGAATTTCCTTCCCATGTGTAGCTTTGCACAGATCAGATGAAGTTAAATTTAGACCATTTTTGAGTTTTTTTTTTTCTATCTTATATCTTATAAAATATCTGTTCCTCCTAATGAGGATTTCTTATTTTTGGAGGCTTGACTACAAGTCAAGGCTACAGCTTCTTCCATCCAGAGAATTCAATCCCCTCCCATGTTCAAAACATCTAATGGAAAGCACTAAGTGAGGATAAAACCTCTCCTTACTAAAACATTAGGTCAGGGAAGGACAGTGTATTGACCCCTAACCTTGAGAGATTAAGACTGGAAGATTAGAGTCAACAAGGACTGCACCCCCAAGAATTTGGTCCACAGTCCAGTACTAGCAGCGCTAGCTTCACCTGGAATTAATGTTAGAAACACAAACTCTCAACCCATCACCCCTCCAAGACCTACTAAGTCAGAAACATCCCCATGGGATTCATTTGTATAGTGTATTGGACAAAAGTCATCACCTAGGACACTGCCACGGCTTGGATGTTGTTTGTCCTCTATCAGTTTGTGTTGGAGCCTTGGTCCTCAGAGTAGTGATATTGGGAGGTGGTGGGACCTTTAAGAGGTGGAGCCTAGTGTAAAGTGGTGTATCCTTGGAAAAGTTTGTGGGACCTAGTCTTTGCCCCACTTCTTTTGTGATGTGATCTTTCATTTCTGAAAGTGCATCTACCAGTGCCACTCAACATGAAGTGACAGAGCCAGAAGGGGCTGTCCGCAGAGCCATGATGATTGAGTGGAGCTAAATGAACCTCTTCTGTTTTTGAAGTTAGCCTGTTTGGGGTGTTTCATTAGAGTAGTGAAAAACAGACTAATCCAGGTACTAAACAAAGCCAATGGTTTAGAGCCACAAAAGGAGGGCCTTCTGTTGGAATCAGAATTTTCGATGGCGCGACTCAACAGCCTCTCAGCAATGTCTTTATCTTGTGTATACATGCCTGCTAATGCCAGGCACTGGTGGCTTTTGCTCGTTATCCTAGCTACTTGGAAGGCTGAGATCCAGAGGGTCAAAGTTCAAGGCCAGCCTAGGCAAACAGAGAGGCCCCATTTCCAAAATAACCAGAGCAAAACAGACTGGAGATGTGGCTCAAGAGTACAGCACCTGCTTTGTAAGTGTGAAGCCCTGAGTTCCAATCCCAGGCCCATCCAAAAATAAAAAAAGACTACTAATTACTGTTCCCTTCATGATAGTAAAAGTCATTGCTATCACGCAAAGTAAATGCCAACAATCAACCATTACCAACAGTTCATTTGCAGGGAACTGAGAAATGAGAACCCAACGCATTCCTAACCTTGCAAATGGACCCCACCAGCTGAGGACTCTCAGTAACCTTCCAGACAAAGAACTGGCCAAGTCCTCACCTCAAGATCACTCTTTAGACACAAACACAGGATGGGAAACTTAGTAGAGCTCTTAAGGAGAGTCCCCAGGAAATGGGATGGCTTGGAAGAGAAACACTCCAAGGCCAATAGAGAAAGAGCAGAATGAATGTAACTTTCTCCTGGACTCTCCCCGTGCTGTTCCTTCCCCATTTGACCAGTTAATATTTGACACTTCATCCTTGCAATGGTTCAGCCCAAAATTGTAGGGTTGTGCTGTCCCCTAACGTCTACACCCAATCACACCCACCAACAAATCCGGCTGATTCTCCCTCCAGAACTCAGGCAGAATCTGACTGCTTCTCACTGCCTCTACTCAACCACCTTCCTTCAAGCCACTGTCATCATCCATCCAAACAATTCAAGGATCTCTTAACTGATCTCACTGCCTCCATGCTGGACTCCCATCTATTCTCAACTCAGCAGCTAGAGCAATCCTGTAGTTAGATTAAGCTACTACTCCACTCAAAATCCAACAATAACTGCCCACCTCACCAAGAGAAGAAGCTGAAGTCCTCACGGTTCTATAGATATTTCAACATAAAAACAACCCCCCCACACACACCACATACACACAGATAGGAGCGCATGGACAAAAATTCTTAGACACCAGCCCCATCTTAAAGGCTGACCATGAACTTGCACACACATCTCTCCACTCAAGAGAATTCTCAGAAATACGTGTGATGGCAGTTATGTCATCACACATTTCCTGTGTGCCTTTCAGGAAAGCTCCAAATCAGATTATCTCTACTTTATGTTTAAAATTAATTCACTTAAATTACTAACCAAAATACTTGTTGGAGGAACATGCAGATTAAGATAGTCTCTGAATAGATAATTTACCAAAACCTTGATGGTTTCCAAGGAAAAGAAAAGCTTTCATCTGCTTCAGCAATTAAACTAAACCAGAAGCAAAAGGACACTGTAATGTTTCATCACACTGTTTTATGTGAGTAATTATTGAGGAAGCTCATCTGTATCCCATTTCCTTTCCATAGAGCTCAAAGGTAATTCTGCTTGTGTGTCTGTACCCATGGCTCTGCTCTACCAAAATAACTGAAATATTAAGAGCTTTAAGAGTCAGTCTACTAAAGAAAACCACAACTTCATGGCAACATTTTAACGATGTGTTTAGAATGTAACACATTGTATATCGCAATGCTACATTCTGCTAATTACTTTGTTGCCATTGTTATTATGTAATTGCCTTGAATAGTAAAGGCTGCCAAGAATCAGTCTCTCAGACTGATCATTACCATTTTACATAACTGGTATTTCCGAAATATTTTCATTTATCTTCAGTTGGTTTTGAATAGCAATCCATAAACAAACTGGAATCCACTAACAAACTGCAGGTCTGAAGAGAATTTTAAATAAATTTTGGCAACTCCTCGTGTAATTATCTTTTGAGGAGAGTCTGTTGGCTGGAAAAACAATGGTCCCTAGATTCAAGTAATTAAAGACACAAGATACAGTATATTTTTTTCACTTAACTTTGAAAAGACACGGATATTTTTCCTAAATTGTATAAAAAAGGTACAAGTCAGGAGTGCTGGTGGCTCATGCTGTAATCCCAGCAACATCAAGAAGCTTAAAATGGGAGGATCGTGGTCCAGGCTGGCCTGGGCAAACAGTGAGACCCTATCTCCAAAATAACAGCAGCAAAAAGGGCCATAGGTATAGATCAAGCAGTAGAGTGCCTGCTTTGCAAGTGAGATGCCCTGAGTTCAAACCCCAGTACTGCCAAAAAAAAAAAAAAAAAAAGCAAGTATACTTTTCAGAAGGTTGTGATTTCCTCCTGCAAACTGTTAGTGAAAAAAAATCACACCTCTTTAAATCACAGATTATCTGCGCTTATTATGTTTCCTTCTATTCGGATTCTGACTTAATTAACAAGAACATCTCTGTACATTTTATAGCTAAATTATAAAGTAAAGCAGAACAGAATTGCTCTTACTTTTCACATTTTCTGAAAAATGTTTCATATTTTCTAACAATCCCTCATGGGGACTGTTAGAAAAATCAAACCAAAATTCTATGGGAGTACTTGGTAAATATGAATCATATTCATTAAAGCAAGAATTTGCCATTGACCAATCCATCACTTACTGAATAGCTATTTCATGCCAGGCCCTGTGAAAGTCTAAGTGAAATCAAAACAAGATCTAGACCCTGCCCAGTAGGAATCACAATCCAGGGGGAAGGTAAAACATTACAGCACAGTAAATTGTTGGAAGAGAAGTGGGAACAGAGAGAATCAGAGCAAGGAGGAAGCAACTGCCACACTTGCATGACTGAAGGTTTGTGACAAGATTCACATTCACATGGCAGATACTATATGCCTTCTCTGTTCTGAACATCTGCCATAAAAGCCAGATGTACAGGCACATGCCTGCAATCCAACCTACATAAAAGGCATACATAGGAGAACTGAGGTCCCAGTATGGCTTCTGGGCAAAAATGCAAGACCCTATCTAAAACAGAAAGGGTTTGGAGGCCTGGCTTGGGGGAAGCAGGTTGGTTAGAGTGCCTGCCTAGCAATTTCAAGGCCCTGAGCTCAAAACCTAATACCACTAAATTAATTATTTAATACATTCCATATATTAACTTACTGAGTCCTCAGGACAATTTCAGGGTACTAGATTATTGTGATCAATTTAAAGACAAAGAAACCCAGGGTTGCATGGTAGAGCATTAGAAAAGTCCTGAGATGAATCCCCAGCACTGGGAAATAAAACAACCAAACAACCAAACAAACCAGAAAGAGCTTCTTAAAGCAGGTGTGGTACTTCACTCGGGGACCAGTGCAGGAAGATAATCAGTGCAAAGCCAGCTAAGGCTACCTAGGGAGACTGTATCGCCATAAATAAATAAATAAATAAATAATAAACGAAAGGTCAAGGAAATACCCTCTCAAAGAGGTTAAGTAACTTATCAAAGACCACAAAGCTAGTAAATAGCAAAGCCTGAATTGAACCTCATGCTCACAAGAATGACTGTAGGTAGCATGCAAACAAAATACTAAGAGAGAGCTAAAGAATGAACCCTCTGTCTAAGACAGTTAGGGAAGCCTTTGAGAGGTTGACATTTGAGTTGACTTGAAGGGTGAGAAGGGATTCCCCTAAGGAAGGAGATGCAGTAAAGCACTCCAGGCACACAGAGACCTGTACAAAGCTTTCTTTGAGCAAAGACCAAAAGTTCTAAGGGCTGAGCTGAGGGGCCTGGCAGGTGGAGGAGAGGAGAGTGGTGGGAGAGGAGCTGTCAGTGTGGGCCCACCTTGACAGTGAAGGACCTCTGTGCTCCCCATGTCGTGATTCAGGCCAGGACTGTGGGTATACTAGAACCTAGAATGAAAGAGACACCTCAGAAAATGGGAGTCAGTTCATTTTCTATAATTTCCAACTCTTAAAGAGATCATTCCAGAATAACATTTTGCTTCTTGTTCCTAATTA